AAGGCAGGGGACGAACAGATGCGTCGAATTCTGGTGGCTAGACCCTTAGGCACTCCCTTAAAAGTGTGTGGGGGATGACAGCTAGAGGGCATAAGATATAGGTGGGAGTCTGTGGGTTTGGTGTGGAGTCTGAATTCGATTTCACCATCAATCAGGGTAGATGTAGTATCTAGGAATACGTTTTTCGAATTAGATACGTCTACTGTAAATTTGATCGATTGATGAAAGGTGTTGGCAAACGTAATGAATGCCTCGAGGCTCTCGCGACATTCCACCCACTTCATCTCTATATCGTCTATGAAACGCAACCAGCTATGGGGCCTAAATGGTGCTTGAAGTAACAAGTTGCGTTCCAGTCTGCCCATGAAGACATTGGCATAAGACGGTGCCATTTTCGTACCCATAGCAGTGCCATTAACCTGCAGGTAATGTTCTCCATTAAACATGAAGTTGTTGAACTTGAGAACATGTTCAAGGAGCTTAGCAAGGGACTCTGTAGAAGGAATTTGTATGGACCTACTTTCCCAGACTTCTCTACAGGCTTCGATACCCTCATCGTGTGGAATATTGGTGTACAAAGATGTGACGTCCATAGTCACGAGGAGGGTATGATTTGGGAGGCCAGTAGAGGGCGTCTTGTTAATGTAGTCCGTGGTGTCCTTGAGATAGGATGGCAAATTCTCTACGTGTGGACGGAGATGTAAATCAATGAATTCAGAAATTTTCTCCGTGGGGTGTCCAATTGCGCTGACTATGGGGCAACCTGGCATGCCTTCTTTGTGTATTTTAGGAAGCAGATAAAATTGTCCTGGTCTACAGTCAATAGGATTTAAGGTCTCATAGACGTTGATACCAATCTCATTTTTCTCAAACATATCGTCAAGAGTTTTGGTAATGGCGGTGGAGAATTCTTTAGTAGGGTCAGAGTCCAGTTTCTTATAGAAACGTTCGTCTGAGAGTTGTCTTTGGGCTTCCGCCATGTAAGTCTCTTTATCCATTACTACAACTGTAGAGCCTTTGTTTGCTTTCTTGATTACAATGTCATCCCGATTTTTTAATGATTGTAAGGCAGATCTCTCTTCCTTACTCAAATTGTCGGGAGTCTTGTCTGGCATTGAAAGGAGCTTCTCTATGTCTGACTCAACGGCGTCAATATACGACTCAAGCGCGCCGCACTTGCCCGGTGCAGGTGACTGGGAACCTGCACCGGGCAAGTGCGGCGCGCTTGAGTCAAGTTCAACAACTTCATGTTTAATGGAGAACATTACCTGCAGGTTAATGGCACTGCTATGGGTACGAAAATGGCACCGTCTTATGCCAATGTCTTCATGGGCAGACTGGAACGCAACTTGTTACTTCAAGCACCATTTAGGCCCCATAGCTGGTTGCGTTTCATAGACGATATAGAGATGAAGTGGGTGAAATGTCGCGAGAGCCTCGAGGCATTCATTACGTTTGCCAACACCTTTCATCAATCGATCAAATTTACAGTAGACGTATCTAATTCGAAAAACGTATTCCTAGATACTACATCTACCCTGATTGATGGTGAAATCGAATTCAGTCTCCACACCAAACCCACAGACTCCCACCTATATCTTATGCCCTCTAGCTGTCATCCCCCACACACTTTTAAGGGAGTGCCTAAGGGTCTAGCCACCAGAATTCGACGCATCTGTTCGTCCCCTGCCTTATATCAGGAGCAAAGTGGTCTTCTTAAGTCCCACTTATGCAAAAGAGGCTACAATGCCCGCACCGTACAAACAGCTATTGATGAGTTGGGGGGACATGACAGGAAAAACCTATTACGCTACAAGGAGAAAGACAATAGCGGCAGGGTCCCTCTGGTAACCACATACCATCCCGTCCTTAAGAACCTTAGCGGTATCCTTCAAAAGAACCTACCAATTCTCCATTCAAACAAACGAATGGCAGAGGTCTTTAAGGAACCCCCATTGGCTGCATATAGACGCCCAAGGAACCTAAAGGACATGGTAGTAAGAACCAGACTGGACAACCCATTACCTAACGGGGGCTTTAAAACTTGCTCTGACAGAAGATGTCTTCTTTGCAAGCACAGCACTGACACAGACAGTTTTAACAGCCCTGTTACAGGCCGCAGCTACAAAATACTAGGGAATTTGTCCTGTCATACTGACAACTGCATTTATCTCATCAGTTGCAAAGTTTGCTCCAAACAGTATATTGGTGAAACAGGAGATCTCCGCAGGAGAGTCAATAACCACCGTTCGACCATTAGGACCAAAAAACTCAATGAACCCGTTGGGGAACATTTCAACCTTGAGGGTCACAAATGGGAGGACATGACAGTAGTGGTGATTGACCATAACCCAAGATGGACAGATGCTCAGAGAAAAAGCAAAGAAAAGTTCTGGATGCACAGATTGAAGTCATTCCGCCCTAATGGCATTAACAAACTGAATGACTTCACCAGAATGAACGTCAACTAGACCCAATTCCTGATGATACTAAACAAGATTATTCTCTCAATTTAGTGTAAACTCTACAGTTAATTTGCGTCACCAACTCTCGAACAACTCTCATAACTATGTATTGCTTACACCTTTGTTAATTATTTTTTCCCGGTAATAAGTCCTTAAATATTTCAAAATTTATAATTGATCATAATTCATATGTTTAAATATCCCTGCTATATTATTTTTCTTCGATTATTCGTTATTAAGTAAAGTTACGCCATTTTGACAGAATGAAACAATGTACGATATACTGATTGTCGTAATTAATTAGCATAATTAATTCGTTCAATTATGTAAATCGCACTTCGCCCGAGTATACCCGATAGACCGGACGCATTTCATAGCGGTCCGGATTTCTTTCTTTATTAGTGTTTTTAAAAATTTCCAATTCATCATGTAATAACTGACCTAAGTGAAGGAATATTAATATTAATATAGAAAGCATAGAGAAATTCACTTTTACAAGGATACTCACTTCCGCCCCGGCCCGGGGTTGAACTCTCGACCTACGGAATCTGTCTCCTAGCAGTACAGGAACAGCGCGTTAGTCCGCTCGGCTATCTAGGCAAGTTAAAAAACTTGCTTTCGATACCGATGGAATTCTCACAACGCTGCCCTACACTACACGGTCATTGAGAATGGAAGTGAGATACAGTTATTTGGACATTAGTTTTAAAAACTACTTTCATTAGTTTGACTCTGCAAAAATCTCCGCTAGGGTCCCCGTGTGTTTACATTTTGTTTACTCATAGTCCAGACCAGCAGCAATAGCCCGTGGCTATATAAAGCCACCGTCTAAAAAGCACAAATTAGATGACACCTGAAAGGGGGTGTGTGAATATTAATACTACTTGAGAATGCCTTCATATTAATACAGCATATGACTTTGCTGTTCCTAATAAAAATATTAAAATATTTCTTAAAAAACATTTTTCTTCCTATATATAATTTCATAACAATTTGAATTTGATTCCCCCTTGTTTCCCTCCCTACCCCAAAGGGCCATGATTTGAATAAATTTAAATCTTTAATATATATAAGGATGCTTAGATGTCAATATTACTTAACATAGCTTTTCTGTTCTTGGGATTTTTCCCTTTATTTTTTTAAATAAAACTTTGATCCACCATTGTGACCCGACCCTACCCTTTGGGGTTATGATTTGAACAAATTTAATTTTACACTACCCGAAAATGCTTCCATATAAATACTTGTATCACTTGTCATGGCTTTGCTATTCTTGAGAAGATTTTTTATAACATATTTTCATGTAAAGCTTGGATACCCCATTGTGGCCCCATCTTATCCCTGGGGGTTATGATTTGAACAAACTAGAATCTAAACTACCTGAGGATTATTCCATATATATATTTCACTAATCATGGATTTGAAGTACTTCAGAAGACGGTTTTAAAAGACGTCCCTGTCTAGACCTATGTCAAACTTTAATCAGCCATTTTGGCCTCACCCTATGCCCGGGGTTGATGATTTGAACAAACTAAAATCTACACTAATTTAGCATGATTTCCTGGCCCAGTGGTTCTTGAGAATAAGATTTTTAAATATTTTCCCTATATATTCATATGTAAAATTTGATCCACCATTGTGGCCTTACACTTCCCCCGGGAGTCATGATTTGAACCAACTTGAATCTACGATACATGAGGATGATTCCACATTAGTTTCATCTTTCCTGGCCCAATGGTTCTTGAGAAGATTTTTAAAGGTTTTCCTTTTATACTCCTATGTAAAACTTTGATTGGCCATTGTGGTTCCACCCTTCCCCAGGGGTCATGATTTGAAAAAGTACACTACCTAATGATGCTTACACATGTGTTTCATCTTTCTTGGCCCAGTATTTTTTGAGAAGATTTTTATTGTTTTCTCTCATATCCTCCTATTTAAAACTTTGATTCCCCATTGTGGACCCACCCTACCCCCGGTGGTTATGATTTAAACAATCTTGAATCTACGCTACCTGAGGGTGTTTCCAAATGAGTTTCATCTTTCCTGTCCTAGTGGTTCTTGAGAGGAAGATTTTTAAAAGATTTTCCCTATATACCCGTATGTGAAACTTTGATATCGCCATTTTGGACCCAACCTACCCCCGGGGGTCATGATTTGAATAAATGTGAATATACACTACCTGAGGATGCTTCCATATGAGTTTCATCTTTTCTGGTCCAGTGGTTCTTGAGAAGATGTTTTTTTTAAAAATGTCATGAAGTTTTCACTAATTCATAATTATTTCCCCTTGGAAGAGGGCTTGACCCTTCATTTTACTAAACTTGCATTTCCTTTACCTAGAAATACTTTGTGTTTAGTTTGGTTGAAATTGGCCAAGTGGTTCTTGAGAAGAAGATAAAGATATTAAACGTTTACGACGACAACGACAACGACAGACAATGGACAAATTTTGATCAGAAAAGCTCACTTAAGCGTCTAGCTCAGATGAGCTTAAATGGTTTACAGACAGACGGACGGTTAAACAGCTCGACAGACAGACAGTCAGACGAACGGCGGACGCATTACAATCGCATATACTCTTCTTTTTCTGACCACTAGAGCTAAAGTGATACAATTATTACCATTTTGACCCCCACATAACTGTTTGTGGACTGCTGTTTATCCTTGGAATGATCTCGCCTTCTTTTCAGTATGTATATCAATCCAGTTATCATTAGAATACTGAAAAATGCCAGAAAACCAAGCGGGATAACGATTCCAAATCCAATACCAGATCTGTCTTTTCTACAAATGAAGCATCATCATGCTTTATTTAAGAGAATGAAGACTTGTGCTTCCATTACATATTTTCTTTACAAAATCTGAACGAGAATTCAGTTGGCATAAACACTTTCCTAACTTGCCTTTACCTTGCAACTATTTTTTCAAATAGAGATGTTATTCTTTTACATTAAAAATGGAAATGTTAATCTCAAATTCATCTTTGACAAACTTAAAACAACCTGATCTCAATTCTGTTTTTTATATTATTAATTTTGAATATCATTATGACTATGTAAATGCACCCTTCTGAATAAAAAGATTTATTACACGTAATATTAATGAGAAAAAAGGATATCTGAATTTCGTCCCACCCTAATTCAAAGGAACATGATTTGAAAATTTTTTTTAAAACATGATGCCCGTATCCTTCTATCTCGAGAGGAATTAATGTCAATCTGTCATTTCCATTGTCTAAATATTTCTCTTTCCTTTATTTCTTTCTTATTTACGAAAAACCCTTTATTTCTTTACCTTTTCTTTGCTTAAAATCGTCCCAGTAGCATAATTTTATGACAATGTCTTCAAATGCTTTACTGTATACATGTAGCCCCTCTGCTTTCAAAAGTTAGGCTTGTTGCATTGAAATGCCCGTCATTTAAAAGAATACTCCGAGCAATGATTTTGACAAGATTTTTAATGGAAATCTGTTTTTGCATTAACCATGCATTTTCAAAAATACAGTATTCAACTGTGAATGTTACTATCTCTATGCCATTTTATGCAAAATACAAGACTGCATTTAGCGTTTTTTCCTGCTTTTTTCCAGGTTTGTGATCATATTCGTATGACCGTTCACGGTAGCTCAGTCCGTGATCGGGAGGTCGTGAGTTCGTATCCGCGACTGAGCTAAGTCGATAAAAAATGGGTAGCAACTGTTCCTTCGCCATGCGCTCGGCACATTGAAGTGAAAGTTGTGGGTCCTTCGGATGAGACCTTAAAAACCGGGGGCCGTGTCAGCTGCAGGCGTTGGCACAATAAAGATCCCTCACTGCTCAATGGCCCTGAGTGCCGAGTAAAGGTCAAAATTTGAAGCCCTTCATTGGCACACGGTGTCGTCTCCAAATGATTGAAAAATTTTGTAGAGGGACGTTAAACTATATACAATCAATCAATCAATCGAAGGAAGATAGACCTGGTAATTGATGATATCTCCTTCTTGAATATTACATTTGAATTCATTGATAAAACAAGTACCTGACCATTTAACGAGTTCCAAGTGTCCTATACATGTACAAGTAAGTTTATTATAAAACGATTAAACTACTTATGAAATGATAACGAATTAAGAACTGCATAAAAATTACTTTGATTTATCAACACCATCATCAACTTCAACAGCAACTTGTGAATTCTTTGCGTAACATTCTTGATCTACAAAAATGAAAATTAAAACCTGTCAAGCATTCATAGTCTAAATCAGAATATGCTTTTTTGTAAAGATGTATGAGTAATTTTGAAACCTTTCTTTATATTATACTCATATTTACATTGTAATGCTGGATGGTTTTAGTGTTTATACGAGGGGTTATCAAAACGTTCGTAGACTGAGGCTATGAAATTAGTACTATGTAGTTTGTGTTTACAAAAATTTATATGGGACATAAAACAACAAAAAAAAGAAATGTTGAAAATTTTAGCTTGATACGTTCAATATTTGCCAAATTATTATAAACTAAAAACAACATTATATGTTCACCGGGCGCTATCGCCGTTTAGTTTCATCACGTCCGACAACGTCATTGTTTTTTAACGTTCGATTTTTTTTACCTTAAACATTTTTGATGAAATTCTCTGGAGCTGAATAAGGACTTAATCCCGCCTGGTTTATATGACTTTACAATGTCATGAACAGTGACTTTCAATGAATTTAATATTTCAAATGGATTTATATAATGAGTGAGATCCTCACTTGAGTGTAATATCTTCAACACATGAACAACGTCATTTTTTGGCGTGATTGATTTTTCACACCTTGACTACAAATCGACATTAACTGTGTATCCCTTTTCTCTCTGAAACTATTTTGACCATAAAAGAAAAGTACTCTGGGTTTATATTATTTCTCTGTAGCCAGTTTAAACATATCTTATTCTATACCAGTTTTTTTCAGGGCCAAAACTTTATAGGATATTGGAAAAGGAAACCCCTTCCTCTTTTGACGTCATTTTTAGGCCTTTTTTGTTTAGACACCCCATGCAAAATTTACAATAAAATTTCATAGAACTTCCAGAATGAAATGCAAATTTCATATTTTATTTAACAATTGTGTCCCAACACATACCTGAACTAGCGGGGTTTTTGGATGTCAAATGTTCATATCAAAAGAGTTTTTCTCAGTTACACTTACATGTAGGTCGCAAAAACGTCGTGTTCGAGGTTGCACCGCCTGGACAAACCATGGCTTACATAAACATTACTAATTTTTTTTTTTAATCCATGATTCATTGTTTTTTCTTCAGATCGAAAAGATGATTCTAACTAGATATCTTAAAATTTATTGATATACCTAAAGCTGTTTTAATCTTATGGCGCTAGTCCACTAACTTTTTGACAACCCCCTCGTATGTGTTATTAAAAGATTGTTTATCTGTGTATTTTATTTATGTATCTGTTCACGTATTAATATTGTTTAGATTAATTAATTAATAATTAATATTGTAATTATATGATTATTGCTAGCGCTCTCGAGCGCAAGCAAGTACGTTAATCCAAATTCCTGGAATTCTTCGGCTTCACAGTCGAGCATTCTGTGAAAACTGTACAGGTGGCAGAGGATAGTTTCAGATTAGGTACTGGTAAACAAAAATAGAGAAACCTAAGGTTTGAATGCATGTTAAAGGTAATTTAATGGCTAGAATATTTTATGGGTGCATTTGGAGGGAATTGGTGGCCTTGTATGTTTTATTGAAATATGACACCTTAGTGTCACTACTACTGTATATGGGATATGGACTAGAAATACGAAACTAAGATCAAAAATCACTTTTCCGGTTTATCACCAGAAAAGCGGGGGTGGGTTCATAGGATGAATTTCAGCTAGAAAACGAGGTGGTCGAGCCATTATCTCTTGCTGTTCAGTAGTATGTACAAATATCATTATGCAATTTGTTGGTAGCTTAGGTCATTAATTACCACGGGCCTGGAAACAGTTGCAGCTGCGGCGAAATAGTGAAAATAGGCTTGATTTGCATGAAGTTTTGAGATTCTCCCTGTGCCATCATTAGGGCTCATTGTGTAAGTTGTACATGTTTTATTCCTAAAAGCTTCAAATTCCTCAAGGGACTGTATCATACTTTTATTACATGTAGAGAGAAATTTAAAATCAGCTCAATATCAAGTAAACCGTCAGTCAAACGTTTTGATTTAGAAAAAAAAATAATAATAAAAAGGACAACTATCTTCTGCCACCTGTGAAAACTACTAAAGAAAGACCGAACGATAAAAAATTTCTTTGTACAATTAAATAACTTTGTTTATTTATTGTGTACATGTAGCTTACACTTTAAAGATAACTACATAATTGTAATACTTCAAATTTTCCCTCTCATCTAACGGAAAAGCACGAGTCATTATCTGATTATTCTAAACAAAGACAAGGGATTTTTTTTTACGTCTAAGCAAAAGATAAACTCTATTTTCAAGATCTAGACCTCACCACAGTAAAAATATATTCAATAACTCGCTATCATGGCAATGTAGGCCAAGCAAAAAAATTCCATAAACAAGGATTTACACTAAAAATTACGAATAAATACATTATTTATATTTAAAAAATCTGTGTGAGGCTTTTAAGTAGCTTCAGAATTGAAGCTCTCCGAAAAAATATTTTGACAGACCGGGCTTTTAACCTAACAGTTCTTGACAAAGATAACCCAAAGGGCCAAGCTACTTCGCATCGTCATATTTGGAACTCTCTGGAAACTACAATGGGTCAACACCCCCCCCCCACCCACCCCCATCGTTTCTATAAAAAACACTTCACAAAATAATATAGCTTTATCACACCCCAACCTCGTTAAACAATTAAAAAAATCAGCAAAATAAATCACTTAATCACGGACCTTCCTTTCTGTGTTTAAAAATTGCTACGGCGCTATAGCTCAACTATCTTTTTTCAAAGATAAACTTGTTATATCACATTTAACGTCGGGTTCGTTACCGACTTAAATTTGGGTCAGTCCTTTCAGGCTATACGTCTGTTAAACTTATCTGTAACGTTCCCAACGGTCGGATTATTGCAACCTCAGTACTAATCTGACATAAGCTGCGAGATGGTACATGTATCCACCATTCCCTTGACCTTAAGACTATTCATTCTAACTTATTTATTATTTTTAATTAAGAAACATTTGTTATCCTTTGTAAATGTGTTATTCTCTATAAATCACTGAATCTGGACATACATGAACATACATATCTGTATCTCACAAGTCTGAAAAATTTGAATCGGTCACCAGAAATCTATAGTGCCAGAGTTTATATTTATTGCTAACAGAGAGAGAGAGGTAGGTGGGATTTGTAGCATTTGAATGTTCGGAATCAAGAGCATGTGAATGAAATATCAAAGTACTCAGAAGTACAGAGAGCCGGGCTCATTTATAGAGTAGAATGAATTTCTTACATGAATCACGTTTATATTCTGATGAAAAAATTATTTTAAAACTATCAATATAAATGATAAGACACTGACAGTGAGTTTTTCAATCCTAATACCACGATCCGATTTTGTCAGAATCAGAATTAATCTGGTACCGCAGCTGAATGTAAACAAACAGGCCAGTCTGCATGGTTCCCTCTCCGGTTTTATCTCGTATGAGTCGAGAACTACGGTAACACTGATTATCGAAAATCCCTACACTAATGAACTATGTTCTTTGACTTATGAGGCTTTCAAAGTAATTACTACTAATGTTTATTTATAAAGATAAAACTTCGTTTTATTTTTGTTGCTTTATTTAGCGTTTGTATTATCTCAAAAGCGGTTGAGAGTAAGAACTATATTTTTGCACGTAACTTTAAAATAGCGACTATTGGGTTAACATCCTGCCTTAAACAGGATCACATAAGCCGGCTATTGCTCTTTGAGCAATAAGCCCGGCTAAAAATTAATGTGTTTTTTGTTTGATAATATGATCAAACAATTTCCTTGTGTTATAATTTCATGCAAATTATCAAGCATGTATATTGCTTGATCATATCATAATACCTAAAAATAAGAAATTTATGCACTAAGTTAAATTTAAATCCAATTGGGACATACAACAATGCATGTTTCCATTTAAACATAAAACAATTTTCATCTGTATTCTGTTTCTTTTTAGAACCTTTACTATATTTTTCAGTGGCATTTATTTTTACAATCTCAATTACATGTACATATCAAGTTATCAGGATTTCATGTATTAAGTCTAGGAATCAACGTCTCTTGAGTTCTAATCGTCTTCTTTCTTCCAATTTTTCTTTTATTTGAATATCTTCTTTCAATTAGGTTTTATTTCTGTGATTAATTTTGTAAAACTTCCTCTATTTATCAATTTTTTTTTTATTCTGGATAACTATCTACAAAGTTCCATTGACATGAACTGGCGACTTGTTTTGATAAATCAATCAATACTTCTGATGTTTGCTTTTTAGTAAATTTCATATGCAAAATGAATATGCCCTGTTTTTTAATGAAGTCAATTAATTGATCATAATCAATTCAAAAGGTACATATAATTATTTCCAATGTTTTTGTTATAAATAATATATGAAGTCTATTTACTAAAATTTAATTTAAAAATCTGTATTTTTGTTCTACTATCAATACATCTAGGAATGTTAATTGTTACATGTTCTCTGAAACACCATGCATATACAATAAGCATTTACTTGTCACGAACAAAGTATATCATTTTTCATAATGGAGCTATTCTATGATATAGCTATAAATAATATTATCTTACATCTAAAACTTTCCGTTGATGGAAATGACTTTAAGCAAGGGTGAGAATAGTTTCTACAATCTGCCTTATAGTTGCGCTGCACTACAGCTCCTAGACTGTTGAATTCACAACAATATTCTGAAATATAAAATTCAATCTGATGAAATTAAAAGATATTGAATTATGATAATGAACATCAATGTATACAGTAAAATTTGCTCAGTATCAACACATACATTGAGAATTCTTGGATATAGCGAAGTTATCTTGGATCCATTGCTATATGAATTTAATGAAACCTTTATATGCATATGGCAACTTACAGATAATTATAGCGAAGTAATTTTAAAGGTACCAGTGACTTCGTTATAATAGAGTTTTACTGTATTATTATATGTAAAAAAAAAAAAGGACATTTGTTCATCCATTATAAATGTTTTTTTTTTGTTTTATGTCCCCATTTTCGAGAAAGCGAGGGGACATTAAATCTCATTCATCTGTCCGTCAGTCTGTTTGTAAGTCCGTCACAAAAACTTTAACCTTGCATATAACTTTTGATTAATAGGGATTATGACTTTCATATTTTACAAGTGTACACCTTATGAGAAGCCTATTTTGGGGGTACCACCAAATTTGACCTTTTGACCTTGGAGTTTGACACAAAAATTCCAAACTTTTATTTTTCATCATTACTTTTGAATATCAGATAATAGGACTCTTATATTTTTCCAATATGTATTATGTGTGGCAAGACCTTTCATTCCATACCAAGAACTTTGACTTTTTTGACCTTGACCTTTGAGATGTTCATACTTATGATAAAGCTTTAACCTTGGCTATACCTTTTGAACAGTAAGGGCTAGGGCTTCCATGCTTCACATACGCAATTCTTATTAGAACACATTTCATTGGATACCAACAGTTTTGTCCCTTTGACCTTGACCTTGGAGTTTGACGTACTCTTTGAAAACTTTAACCTTGGCCACAACTTTTGAACGGTAGATACTAGGACTTTTATATATCACATATCGTGTTTGTTAAAAGACCTTTCAATCGATACAAATAACGTTGACCTTTTGACTTTGGAGATATCCTAACTTACATGAAAAACTTCAGCCTTGGTCATAATTTTTGAATGGTATGGGCTAGGGCTTTCATACATGTACTTCACTTATGTAATCCTTGTGAGAAGACCTTATTTTTGACACCAAGAACTTTGACTTTGACCTTGGAGTTAATTAACATTTGGAGGGTTAGTGCTAAGGTTTTCATATTTCACATATTTTATCCTTGTGACAGAACCTTTCATTTGTTATCAAGAATGACCTTGGAGTTTGACTTCGGGTTATAAAATATTTAATTTGCATTTTTAAAAAGTTAAATCTTCGTTATGTTGCAATACGGGCTCATCAGGGCTTCACAAATGCATTTTGTTCCTTATATTGAGAAGAAATTGCTTTCATATTTTGTCCTGCGACAAGATATTTCCGAGCATGCTATGATTTCTGACTCCTTGACCTTCATGAATGACCATATTATTGTTTTAATCAACTTTAGTGATAATTTCTAAATGACATATGATCGGGCATTCATATTTATTACAACATGTCATCTCAACCACAAAGACACCGAAAGCAGGGAACCTCAATTCTTTCAAGTTGCTTGTTTCTATTGTTTTGTGTTCTTATCTTGATTATTTGTTTAACTTAAGAAATTTGATATTCTTAATCATAAAAGTTTATTTCAAAAATTCACAAGATTCAGATACACTAGTACCTTACGAAAAAGAGGCCCGTGAACCGCATCGCTCACATGAGCACTGTGAGAGGAACAAGCAAAAAATCAGTACAGTAAATGCATAAAGGTGGGTGATTATGAAAAATCAATTCAGTAAATGCATAAAGGTTGGGGGGGGGGGGTTAAGATTTTTGTTCATAAATTCAAATTGATGCAAACTTATATCTGCACTTACTAAGATGATTACAGTTTTTTATTAACTGTGGTTTTTCCCTAATAAGTTTGAACATTGACTGTTGTTGAGTCATGATTTTAAAAAATGCATATTCACTGTGTCTGAGGGTCCTTCCATATCAACATGATCAATCACGACTTAGCTGTTCTTTAGAATATTTTTCCTATCTATTCTTTGAATCTTTGATGGAAAATTGTGGTTAAAGGTCAAAATTTAGACAAATTAATTTCAATCTACACTACCTAATCATGCTTACATATGATAATAACAATAGTAATACTTTATATAGAGAAGGTAACCCGAATAGTGCGAGCATTAGTCTTCCTAGGGGCCTTCTTGAAAACCAATATACAACGCATATGTACAATAAATAGAATTACAATCAAGAGACAATCAATAGTATATTACAAAGAAATAAAACATCAACATTTTAGTATAGAGAGAGAAAAAAAAATCACATAGTACCATTGCATTTCATAAGTAGAAAATTTTCAATATTTCTTTTAAATATTGCAAGGGATAGGGTTTTCCTTATATTAATTGGTAGCTCATTCCAGATATCAACCCCTGAATAATGTAAAGAATGTTTTAAAATGTTTGTTGCATATTTTGGTAATCGAAGTTCGGAATGTGTTTCTGAGCGTAACGTGTATGATCCAGAACTTTGAGATTCAAAAAGATTATGCATAAAATCGGGAAACATAATGTAAAATCACATATTTCGTGGTTTCAGTAAAATCTCTTGGTTCATGCGGATTTGAATTCGTGGATGAAGAATTTTGAAGTAGTTATATAATTATGTAAAATTTTACATTTCATGTTGGACAGGTATTCATGGGTCTCTTCATACCTCAAAAACAACGAAAGTTAAAACTCCACAAAAAAATTGTGATTTCAAAGTACCATGAAATATTATGAACATTAGAATGATTTTCTGTAAATATAAAAGTTAAAAAACCGTAAACCAATCTAGAGTGTTGAATAAAGGCATTGGAGGTGTATAATATTTTTCATTAAAATAATCCTAGCTGCTTATTTTTGTAATCTGTAGATTCTATCCAGATGCGTTTGAGGACAGTTTCCCCAAATGGATAGTAGACAATATACAAGAGGCCCATGGGCCTTATAGGTCACCTGAGAATCATGCAACAACTTTCAAATGATAGAATTTGGATCAAGTTTTAAGGTAGATGTTATGGCATTCACAATTTTGAAAGAAACTGGCAGTCTGGCACCATTGCTAATCATAACTATGAACTTTGCAATCGCTTAGTTTGGTTACTTAAAGGGGTTGGGTGGTCGTGGCCATTTTTATACTATTTCTATCTCCTTTAGAAGAAGAGCTCTATATAAAGATAAACAAAAATACATGTAATCAAATTTTAAAACAAATATGTGTATATGTATGAAATTTTTCTTTGTCAAATGATAGTTGACGGCTAAAGATATCATATCATTTTCGCTATATCTGGTGGTTAATTTGTTGTTAATTTGTTGACCCCAAGCCTCCTTAATACCCATGGGCTGGATAGGGGAACAAATACCACACATGAACCCCTGACCCTAGGTCTACACATTGCACAATTTTTGAAAAGGCACACTTGCTTATCAAAAATGATTGATTAAAACCAAGGAGCAGAATTCAAACAATTCATTTTCAGTATTAAGTAGAGCCCTACCCCCCCCCCCCCTCAATGGTATCCCTGACCCAGGAGCCTGAAAGTTCACAATTCTGGAAGAAAAACCCTTGCACATCATAACTATATAGGTAGTTCATCTGCTTATTACCTAGGAGCAGAGAAGAAGTTTTCAAAAAATTAATATATATTTTAAATATATAATCATTATAGAGCCCCGCGCTAACACCAGGACCCCTGACCCTGGGGCCAAGAAATTCACAATTTTAAAAGAGGCACTCCTATTTATCATTAGTATGTACTTTATAAGTTATTTTAATTAATAGCTAGAAGAAAAGAAGAAGATTTTCAAAGCATTTATGCATTTTTACTATTTAATAAATAGAGCCTCGTACTAACACAAGAACCCCTGACCCTGGGGCCACAAAATTCACAATTTTAAAAGAGGCACTCTTACTCATCATAGCTATATACTTGATTATTTTAATTATTACACAGAAGCAGAGAAGAAGATTTTCAAAGAAATAATGCATTTCACTATATAATCTATATTGCCCCGCCTTGCACTAGAACCCCTGAACCTGGGGCCATGGAATTCACAATTTTAGAAGAAGCACTCTTGCTCATCATAACTTTATACTTAGTCAGTCTATTTAATACCCAGAAGCAGACAAGAAGATTTTCAAAGAATTAATGTATTTTCACTATATAATCATTATAGAGCCCCGCCCTAACACCAAAATCCCTGACCCTGGGGCCATAAAATTCACAATTTTAAAAGAGGCACTCCTGCTTATCATAAGTATATACTTAGTTAGTTTATTTAATACCTAGGAGCAGCGAAGAAAATTTTTAAAGAGATAATGCATTTTCACTATATGATCTATATAGCCCCGCCCTAGCACTAGAACCCCTAACCCTGGGCCATGAATTTCACAATTTTGGTAGAGGACTCAATGCTGATTACAATCATACAAACAGTTTGACTGCTTGATGTCCAGGAGTAAAGAAGAAAATTTTCAAAGATTGCACTAATTTTAGTGGTTTTGGCCCCACCTCCCAGGCCCCAGTGGGGCAGGGACCATGAAATTCACAATTTTTGTTCTCCTTCAACCATAGATGCTATATGCCAAAATTGGTTGAAATTGGATGAGTGGTTTTAGAGAAGAAGCTGAAAATGTTCAAATGTTAACGCACGACGAACGACGCACGACGCACGACGACGGACAAAATCAGATAGCAGTAGGTCACCTGAGTTTACTCAGGTGACCTAAAAATAGATGGTAGAATAAAAGTTTTAAAACATTGTTTTCTAGTACGCATTGGAAGAAACTTTTTAATTTTTCGTAAAATAAATGATTTATATGAAAGAGTTTTGCAAACTGCATCTACATGACAAGTACGAGTATATTGAAGATTATGATAAATATGACCACCTAATAATTAGTGCATTTCTACATTTTAAGGGGGATGGCCGGAAAGTTCTAAATGAAAATAAACGTTTTCTAATTCAGCTTTCTTTTGTTGTGTTCACATTAACATACACCTTGTATGTTATCATCAGTATTTATAATGATCTGATTTCGTTGACATCTTTTTGTATTTGACAGAGTTCATGATTAAGAGTTGTTTCAATACGTGAAATCCTTTTACCATGAAAATGCATTGTATTGTCATCAGCAAACATATTAATATTACAATGTTCAACACACAATGGTAAATCATTAATATTCAACAGAAACAACAAATGACCTAAAGTAGAGCCCTGTGCACACCTGCTGTGACTGGCAGTGATTCAGATGTGTAGGCACCAATTTTAACATTTTGAGTTCGATCACATAAATATGATTGAATTCATTTAATTGATATTGGATGGAAGTGATAGCATTTAAGATTTCTAATAAGTATATCATATTTTACAAGATCAAATACTTTGGTAAAATCCAGATAAGCAATGCCAACAACATTTCCTTGATCTATTTCATACAGCCAATTATCAATTACTTTTGTGTAAGCTGTCTGGCATAAGTGAAGTTCTCGAAATCCAGATTGTGCTTTCATTAATAAATCAAAGTGAGAAGTAAATATACGTATATGTTCTGCTACATGCTTCTCTAAAATTTTCGATTTAGTTATTTGATAAAATTGAGATCGGGCGATAGTTTCCTGGGTCTAATTTATCGCCCTTTGTAAACAGGGGAGATACTTTTGCAACTAAAACTGTGAAGGAAAAGATCCCTTGATAACGCTAGAATTTATTAAGTGTGTTATAGGTGTGGATATTATACTTGCTGAAAGTTAAAGCAATTTAGGTCCATGAAAGTCTATACCGGCAGATCTGTTTACATCAAGTCGTTACCAACGAGACCGATCATGATTATGGGATTCATAATTATGCTTCTTGAGAAAAAGATTTTTAAAGAATTTTTCCTATATATTCTAATATAAAAGTTTGTTCGTCAAGTGATGTCATACCCTGACAGGATTTGACTAAATATGAGTCTACACTACCTGTGGATCTTTCAAAATGAATATGAAAACCCTGGCTTTTCTGTTCTCGAGAAGAAGATGCTTAAAGATTTTTCATATATATTCCAATGAAAAATTGATCATCTATATTGGTTGCGCCCTACCCCCTGACGACATAATTTTGTACAATCTTGGATTAACACTACCTGTGGATGCTTTCCTTTAAATATGGCCAAACATTGTTTAGTTGATCTCGGGAAGAAATTTTTTATGATTTTCCCTATTTTCCTATGTAAAACTTTGATCGTCCACTGTGACCTCGTTCTTTACCCCCACGGGTCATGATTTGATCAAATTTGAATCTTTGATCTTTTTTTTTTAATTCTGGCCCCACCCTTACCCTGAATGCCATAATATTAATAAATGAAAAACTAATGTACCTAAGATACTAAAATAAGCAATTCCAATCAAAGATTTGCTGTTCTGAAAGAGATCTTTAGAAGTTTTTCATACAAATATATATTCCCATGTAAAACTGGTCATCTATTGTGGCCCCACCCTTAACCCGGGTTCAAGATTTCTTCAATCTCGAATCTACACTATCTGAGGAGTCTTCCACATAGATATGACCAATCATGGCATTGCTTTTGTCGGGTCGAAGATTTCTAAAACCTTTTACCTTATTATATTCCTACAGTATGTTAAACTTTAACCGTCGATTGTGGTTCCAGCCTACCCCGGGAGACATGATTTGAAAAAAAGCTCAAATCTACATTACCTTGGAATACATCTGTATAAATATGACCAATTATGACTTTGCCGTTCCCCGGGAGACAGTTTTAAAGATTTTTTATGTAAAACTATGAACGCCCATTGTGACCTCGCCGTTTACCGACGCAGACCATGATTTGGACAGATTTGAATCTTCACTAACTGAGGAGAGGGTACTTCTATATAAATATATTACCAGTCATGGCTTTGCTTTTCTCGAGGTTTTAAAAGATTTTTTTCATTTTTATTACTATTTAAAATCCGACTGCCCAATGTTGCTGTCTCCTTCTCCCAGGGCTCATAATTTAAATAAACTAAAATTTAAATTTACCTGTTGATGTTTTCACATAAGTTTCATCTTCACTGGCCCAGTGGTTTTTAAGGGGAAAAATTAAGAGATGCCACAATTTCTTTCATAAATTTTTTATTTTCTCTCCTTGGAAATTGGCAAAGCCCTTAATTTCAACAAACTTAAATCCCCTTTAGTAAATGAAACTTTGTGAAAATTTGTTACAATTTCGGTTGAAATCAGCCTAGTGGTTCTCGAGATGAAGTCGAAAATGTGACAAGTTTACAGACAGACGGACAGCTAGACAGATGGACCGACGAACGGAATGATAGATTTCTTCGAGCTTTAATAAGATGAGCAATCCTAATGCTCTGTATGTTACCTGATGCATATATCATTGGAGCACAAACTTCCACAAGGGTTTGCAAATTTGTGTTCGGCAGACAATGGTAAAGAAACGTTGAGTTGTCTGTGCAGCTTTGATGAAACTTGGAGCAATCTTTGAGCATAGCTCTTTGATTCCATTCTTCTTTACTTTTTGGACAGTTCTTCACTGTTTCCATTGTATTCAAAGACGATGGACAAAACCCATTTGTGTAGTTTGCAAACATCTGGGAAAAAAGGAAGGAAACGTGGATAATTGACATACCCGACTTCATGTACATATAGGTGATTAACATTCATAATGATTATCTGTCTATATTTCGACCCAAAGGCGTATTCACACAATGTGGCACTATGCATTACAACCCGATCGGAGTATAGAAAGTGCAAACTGGACATTTCTGCAATGCAATAAAAGGCAATTACGTTGATTGCTATCGAAAAAATGAAAGAAAAGGTAAAAACTTGAATACTTTTGTTTTCTCTGTGTATAACATTTAAGATAAATAAAGCGCGAACTTTCTTATATAATGCTACACCGACTAACGTCTAATTTGCAATATTGTAATTAGATTCCAAAAGAGATCATGATAAAGTAATCCCCAAAATGCATGACCGTAATAAATTGAATAAGCTTGGCTTAAGATTTGCGGTGTCGTAGATGTACACTGTAATTTGTGCACATAATAAACAGATAAAGCCTTTTCATTTGAATATGAAACCACAAGGACCTAGGTCCGATGAAGAAATTTTTCCCTGTCTACGGTTTACACCTGTCGTGTGCTTTTCATTATGATCGGATAAAACGACCGCACTCATAATCAATAGGTAATGGTCCAGCTATTGGCAAGGAAAGCATGTGTCGACATACGACCAAATGAGGGATTTTATTTACAAATATGGCTATTTTTTGCAAGAAGAAATCGACTTCAAGGAATCTGTACACTCATATCATCAACTATTTTGTTTTAAAAATCCATCTTTCATAATCATTTACATATATAAAACAAATAACAGGATTGAATTCTTATTCAACAGATATCTTTTTTTACGCAGCATTTTTTAAATAAATACAACTGTATTACAAAGAAGAAGGTATGGTTTCCATACAAAATTTGCCCTGTGATTTTCTAAAAAATGAAACTGGTGCAAAAGTTGAAAACTCACGTTTTTTAAATAATAGAAATTCGATGCAGAAAAATCATACAAGTCATTTTTCTCACATGTGTTTTTAAAAGCTAATTATGACGTCATAAACGTGTGCGTTTTCCTGTATTTTCTTAAAAAGTTGCAGAAGACACCAATTTTCAATGGAATTTTCTTTCAGATAACATTGTCCACAGGCCTCGCCCACAAAGATCTTGAGATATGTGATTTGTTATTGAATTTTACACAAAATATCAAAAAATTAACGTGGGCGACGGCTGTGGACACTATTTTCTAAAGGAAAATCAGCTTTGAAATGCGCCAGTTTGAGGCTTTTTCTGTTGAAAATAACAAAATACTTCACATTAATGACGTCATATTTGCAGAATGGTAAACCTTCACGCTATATTCTGTCCTGATTTATCAGAGTCATTTATTTAACTAATATTTCAGACAGTTTCAAAACTTTTTGATGTCATTACATTTTTAGGGCGCAATAAAGCTAAAACCATAACTTCTTCTTAATAATGATGTACGAAAAGTAATACAGCATTATTGTCAAATAATAACATTTATGTAATCATGTGTTTTGTGGTACCAGAGTTTTTGTTTTCTTAAAATCAAAATACATCATATGTATTTGGCGTCTATCAGAGAATTAGCCAAACCGGTGTATATTAACCAATCAGAAGTGTGTTTTTTCTTGTGTCTCAGAATAGCGCCACTTCACTGATTTAGAGGGTAAACAAAAACACGTTAAATTCTTCTACTTAAGAAATCACCCACCCACCTTTCACCATCAGTCAAATATCAAACATTTATGTTTATGGTAAAACAATGCTTGAATTGATTTAATAGATAGATCATCGAAAACAACGAAATTACCCCTCCTTTGCGTAAATTTGTGATTTCACAATATGCATCAGGATTTTCAATGAAAGGAAAAATATAATGTTAGAACTAGAATGCATTACCAAGACTGTGAAAACAAATAAGAGCCTCTTGGGTCTAATTCCCAAATATCTCAATGGACAACGCAGGAAACCTGTGAAAATTGAAAAAAAAAACATTTATAATGTTGTCAATAAATATCTACAATTTACATTCACATTTCCTGAGGAAAGCTTCTAATTAATTAACTTTTACTTGTTAAGTGGTTCTTGAAAACATTTTTTTAACATCCTGTATACTGGATCGTTTTACTTTGATTCCCAATTGTCCCCCGGAGACCATGTTCTGTTTGTTTGTTGTTGTTTTCACTAATATTGAAACGCCACCATTTCTCGGTGGAGAGCTGCAAATTTTGATTTAATGCTCGGCACTAAAGGTCATTGAGCGTTGAGGGATCTTTGTGACACGGGACTTTGGTTTATATGGTATTATCATAAGAACCGGTCCCCATGTCCCACGGTGAGATTCGAATCTACTGCAGCGCAACCAGAGCGACCTACAATGAGCTGAGCAATTAACAAACTACACTTCATAGCCTTTAGTTGAGAAGCTTTCACCTAAGTTCACCTTTTCTATTCTAGGCGTTTATGAGAGGATTGTCCTATGTATTTCAATGTAAAACTAGTGGTGGGCAAAGGGTTGTTAGAAAAGTTCACTTGAGCTGTCAGATCAATTTAGCTAACAAGAAATGATATATAAAACATTTGTCGAACGCATTAAATGATAAAATAAAACCAAGGCGCTTACTTGTACCTAATCTAACATTTTTCATAAGACATGAGTACATTGTCATTAAATTTTTAAATTAGAGTGTTCCAAGGAACAAGTTTGAAGGAGGTCAGGGGTCAAGGTAAAGTGAATTGTAACGCTGATATATTTTTTTTTTTTGTAATCTTTTATGAAAATCGACTAATAAGTATGCTATGTTAAGCTAAACAGCATAGAAATAACCCGTAAATATCAAAAGTATGCTGTATATTAGAATTTTAAACTTGTCAAAGTTGGTCAAAGGACAAGGTCAAGGATCAGAAGGTCGGTAATCATGTCAATTTACAGATGCCCTAGTGTCAAGAGGAAATGTGCAAAAATATCAAGTCCATTCTCCTACAGTTCTTGAAATATTACGCGAGACAGCTGACAAACTGAAATACAGACAGTCAGGGAGACAGCCAGTCAGCCAGACAGACAAACGCAAAATTGAGTGATCCCTTAGCACCGCACTGCTTTACAGGCGATGTAAAAAGGCATTAAATAAAGTTATACTAGGGTTGTTAGAAAAGTTCGCGGACACGTGCACGACACATCCACGGAGAATCTATTGTGTACTGTGAGGTATGACATATGTCTGATTTATTTCCTATCTTTGTTTATTAGTATGTAAAAAATCCAAGTCGATTTACTAAAATTTACAAAGGTTCTTACCATGCGGTCAAAGGAATCACGTAGAAATCACTTGACATTAAGGAGGCTGGGGGGTCAACAAATTAACAACAAATTAACCACCAGATTCAACTTATTTTTTAGATATGGTATCTTAAGTTGTCAACTATCATTTGGCAAAGAAAAAAATCATACAATTTAGCTTTTAAATTTGATCATTTTTGTATATCTTTATATGGAGCTTTCTTTCAAAGGAGATCAAAATAGTCTGAAAATGGCTGCCATCCCCAGTCTCTTTAAGTGACAAGCTGACAACCAGATTTCAAATCCGTTAAGTTTTTTTTTTATCAGTTCTAAATGCCTTCGAGGGCTGTTAAATAAATAAGAAAAGACAAAAAAAAACCCTTTAGTATGATTTAGTCTTTATGATTTCACTTATATATTCTCTTTTAATTAAAATACTTATCCGTAACATTTTTATCCAATGTCTGATTGTTTTTAGAACTCATGTTTTAGTATGCCCCTTTGTATACTGGAATATGGAAGATCCTTTTATTTTCTGCGCTTGTTTCATCTTTCTGTAAGGTGGTTTTTTTTTTCAAATTTGGAAAATGAAACAAGTTAAAGGGTGAAAGATCTGGCGAATATTGTTGGTGTGACAAACATAAACTTTCTGTTTATCCCCAAAACTCATTTACTCTTTAGGGCGTGCAGGTTTGGACGCTGTCATGGAGAAATTTAATGTGGTGGATTCTTGATTCTGTTTTTTTTTCTTCTCATAAACCTTTCAATTTATGCAAAAAATGCTTTTTAGACGATTCCAGAAACTGAACTGTCTCATGGTATACTAATTTGAACAACAAAACCACTAACATTTAAGAAAATGGCACATAAATCTGTTTTGTGCTCTTGTAATCCTTCGCTCCTCTCAGACCTTTGCTGATTTTGTCAAGGTTATCTTATTGCAAATTTTGTTTTATGGGTTTAAGCAAGTTTTATCATCTGTTTGAATTTCAGACAAAATTGGATAACTACTATTTCTGATTTAAAAAAAAAAATAATTGTTTAAATATTCTTACACGCTATCGTTTTCACTTACATGTATTCACAGATAGGGTGGCCATTCAGTATTCAGCTTTTTTATTGTCATTTTTTTTCATTAAAACAATGTGAAGTACCCCCCAAAAGTATACCTATCAAATTTGCTAGGTGACTTAAAATCCATAAAACATCATCAGTGATTATTTGTTGATTTTTGGCACACGGTACATTGGTTGTTATATAATGTCTTGTTGTTATGGACGGTACTCATTTTGATCCTCATTATATTATTTGTGTTCAAGGAAATCCACCTGCTCGTGTGTCTATAAAACAGTCATTGGTTGTTTTAAATTTCTCATATTTCAGTGAATATTACTTTAGGTTTCTTTAATAAAGCGTTTAATTTCACTCTGTCATTCTCTGATTCTTTACCATTCACATTTTAATGCAGTGTCTCGAATAGCCCTTGTTCTCAAGCTTCTCACAATAAATGTGGTCAAAAAACCTGTTATAAAAGTCAAGACTAATATCATATGATATGTAATGGTTATCAGCCGAAATCTGTCCATTATATCAGATATTAGACGACCCGAGGGGCGCCAGCGCCGAGGAGAGTCATATCTGAGTTAATAGTAGGAATCATCGAGAGGTTTTTAATATCGTTAAATATGAACATTTATTTTGTAAAGCCTTATTTATTCGCATTTTGACATTTTTATATATACTACGCATGCGTAAATGTCAGTTCTCCTAAATTCCTTACAATTTATTCATTATACAACGCAATGATGACGTGCATTAAATTTTGAATAAAGACCTTCAGAATCGGGTGTTTTGACGATGCTGTTTATCGATTATACAAAGATGCTTTCTACTGTGAAATCCGGATATATATTCTTATGTTTCAGAATTTTTCAGAATTTGCAAGAAACCGTTATCTGTTAACAGGTAATTTTTGTAAAGCAATAGAATTTGAAGGATTTTACTCCAACAACTGTTTAAGCATTTTCTATGAAATAAGGCGATTTTTTTTTTTGGGTTTTTTAATTTATTTTTTATATAAATGCAACACTTTCTCTTTTGTGTGCAGGTTTCGAACTCGGAAGGATTTTACTCTAGCCACTCCTTCAAACAACGACAGGCACTCGCTCAAACGACACAGGATTAGGTGGACATATAGTCATAAATCACCAAACGAAATTACAGATTCGTTGGAATTTCGTGAGCTAAATTGTGTGCTAATTGCGGAAAAAATGGATATTTCAATAAACAAAAAGCCCAAGAATGTGTGTAAAAAACGTATGCTTCTTATTTATTGTTTGTGTCCATTGGATTCTATATATGTTTCCTAGATCACTCGTTGTGAAATGAATCTGTTATTTATAGCAAGGAACGGCGAATTAAGGAAATTTATAGTGGGAGCCACGGATACGTCTACAATTATAAATCTGACACATTAAATTCACTGGATTATTTGTGCCATTTTCAATAGGATTTTTTGTGAAATGTTAAGATTTAACGCTACTAGTTTCCTATAACATTCATATTAAATTGTTTGATTTGTTATTGCCTTTTAAGTGTTGTTCACCTATTTGCCTAGCCCTTTGTTCTCATTTGAACGTTTCCTATACCTGTCCAATAAGTTGAATCTTATTGGACATCTACAGGTAACTTATTGGACGGTGTGCAGAACAATAAAATATTTAAATTTTTGAACCAGGAACAAAAGATGTCATAAAAATGTTTTAACTATGCTGTATGTAATAGAGTTCAGGACATTATTTATTGCACAGCCCTCGTATATCAAGATGTGTTACTTTTTTTATAGTGTCATTCCATATGCGTAAATCATTCGCAAAAGGGAATTTTAAACAACGAACAACACCCCAGCCCCGAAACATAATTTTTCAAGCTTTTAAACTATCAATAATCCATTGTAATAAAACAGATACTTGCCTTTAGCGACGCAATTTTGTGCTTTATCCAAATTTGTATCCTCGCTGCCCTGGTGATTTCCAACAAAATGTTTGATATCCGTATCCTCCTTATAATCTATTTGTATCAACTGACACTATAATAGAACAAATTGAAACTCTTAAAAGAATTAAGAATTTGTTTATTTCATGCCTGGAAAAGGGAAGCGTATATAATAGACGTATTCAAATGGACCATGATATGGTAACGTATTTACATTAAATCACAGGGATCGTACCTAGTTATTTCCAAGGTCTAAGGTGTTTAACATTAAATGTTTGGAACTAATTGCTGTGGTTTTTGTGGAATGCCGAAATGTACAAATATGTCTTAATATAATCCAGGTGAGATTATAAAATTAAATAGTATATATATATATAAACAAAAATTAGAGACAAGCAACAATTAAATGAGTAGTCCTAGCCTAACATTTAGATACGGACATTCTTATTATAACACCTAAATGAGTTGCCCAGTGGCCCTCGGACAACAACATAATTATGCTGCACGATTTTTACTCCTCCTTGGCACTGGTACAACCTCTGATGCTTTGGAAGTCTGTGTTTGCTTTTCTTAATTTTTGTATTGTTTGATGGACTTCTGACTTGAATACTGTTCGTTACCTCCAAATATTTCATTACATGTGCTTGTTACATGTACGTTTGTCCCAGAAATCGCGCGAGATTTATATGTTTTCGACTTTTTCACAAAAGAACGCACAAAGAAGGACATTTACTACATCTGGAAATAGAACGAATTTTAAACTATGCAACAAAATGTATTTATAGCGTTTTTAAAATGTAGAGGAGAATTAAACTACATCAAAAAGTATAATTACTTACAACTTACAATTTTCATGAGTTAAATCCAAAATGACAATTCACTAATTCTCTGTACCTGTCGACCTGACAAAAGTATGGATTAAAGTTCTATTTGTACATATTTCAGAGGCAATGGTTTTGTTGTTTATTATTTTTTAAATATGTAGGTGCAATTGTTCTTATGATTTTGAAAATACATTTCTGTACATTCCCTTGTTAAGCGATTAAGCCAATTACATGTATTTGTATGTAATTGTAAGGGTGTATTAGTAGCGGTGCATTCCTTATTCAAGTAATGGAGCTAAGACCCCGGAGTGACAGAGACCCATTTCTTATATGGAAAGGAGCGCTTCGAGTATATCAACTTGCATTAAATCAACCTTTCTAAATACTTGTATTTAACGAAATTTGTTATTACATAGTTAAAAATCTGTTAATCATGATAATGTCAATGGATTATATTTTAGTAGTTTTCATTTTATATGTACTATAGAAAGTAAAGCGATAAAAGTGTACTGAAGTAAGTTTAAACTAGGGTGCTGCGACAGCTTTGATAGTTTAGTGATACAGGGTACCCGACTTCAAAGGCCAAGGCACTGGGTTCGGAACACATCATGGACACTATAATATTTTAAGCGAAAATGAGCTTGATTAGATAAAATTTTCAATGTTCTTTCTCCTGAAGAGGCACGGGAGGGATGATACAAACATAACAAATTCCGTTTTCAATGTTTTTTGCAACTTTCCATTCCTGAAAAATAATGGAGCGCTTAAACAAACGAGTGACGTCACAAGTAGATTTTACGCAGTTAAATTGGTTATCTAAAAGTATTAATTAAATGGCCTTTTGCAAGTGCGTACCCTAAATGGATCATTTCAAGCTTTTAATCTATCTCTAAGAGTATAGAGCCATTTGAAATTAATATATACCAGATACTGCTATCCCGTTTAATTCTTGATTACGCCCTTGCACTATTGAAAATTGTAAGTGAAGTTAATATCGAAGGCAAATGTACTTGATGCAACAGTTCTAAAAAGAAAATTAATTTTTCTCAATTCGGAGTGAATCATAATAAACATATGTACAACTTTAGTACATGTACTAGTAAATTCTTAGAAGTCAACATTTTGAAATATATATATATATATATATATATATATATATATATATATATATATATATATATATATATATATATATATATATACAGCAAAACTCGCTTAGTACGAACACGGATATTGCGAATTTACGGATATAGCGAAGTCATCTTGGATCCCCAGCTATATAAATTTAATGAATTTCTTATATGGTTATAACGAATTACGGATATAGCGAAGTAATTTCATAGGTCCCTGTGACTTCGTTATAACCGAGTTTTGCTGTATATATATATATATATATATATATATATATATATATATATATATATATATATATATCTGTTGTCAAAAAAATCGCAGATTTCCATTGTGTGCATTACTTTGCTATTTTAGACTGACTATAGATGTATAGAGCTTATGTTCATATGCCATATCATGTGATATTTGTGTTTGAATATGTGCTCGTCTGTAATGTGATGTCTCCCAGTTACAGTGTAGATGTCATTTTGTATAAATGCAATACATGTGCACAACAGCATGACGACGCGGTTGGGGTCTCACATTTCAGGCATTTCAATAGAGCTTTGTTGTAAGAATCAGTCTTTAGTTACAATACAGTTGAATAATTTAAACCTGGCTTTTTAATCCTTCATTTTTAAAAGAAGAAAATACATGGATATATTTCGCAAGTTGCATGAGAGAATTTCTACTTCTTTTGTTCACCATTCAGTCAAGTAAAAATTCATAATGTCATAATAATAAGGAAAAGACTGTTTGTGAAGTAGTAACAGAAAGAATTCATATGTATAGTTTTATTGAAGAGCTTTTCATGTTAATTTTTTTTAGAACTTAACTTCACAAGAAATATGATTTCCTTTTTTATACATTCATTTCAAAAGGTTCGTTTCATAGGTACAAACCATACACATAAATTATATGAAACTATTTTATATTAAATTACATTACCATTCAATTATCCGTCGGGTCAATTTTATAGAAATTGATCATTAAGACTATTTAAAATTATTCAATAAAGAGCACTCAACTATACTCGTAAGCTCTCTGATTAAGACCAATAACAAGATGTCAATACGGTATATATCTGACAATAAATAATAATGAAAAATAATCCCTTTAAATAAAAACATTTCTAACATGTGAATGTATCTTACCATTGTCTAAAATTGCGCAGGAAATTACATCCGAACAAATATGGCCACGAACGCTGGAAGAGGTAGGCGCAAAGTGCGCATGCATGCGGTAATTTTAACTCTTTCCAGGTATAGGACATTTTCAAAATAGTGTCATTTCTTGGTATTGCGCATGTGTTCCATATTTAAATGGAAAGTACATACATGTTTACCTGTTTGTATAAATAGAGTCAATGCTTTAAAGAAAAAGAAACTAATGAAATAATTTTCTTTTAAAAACTCAGAGGTTGTACCTATACATATACAAATATATCTTCCATCGCAAAATATGAAAACAGAAGTTTATGTTTTTTTTTCAAATCTCTCATTGAAAAAGTTGATAAAAATTCTGAAACGAAAATTTTCAACTTCAAAGGTGCGGCTCAAGTGACTTCAAGTTTATTTCCTTATTGATGTACAATACACGTATAAGGTGACCTGTATAATCTAGGTATGACACGTTAGTTAAGCACTTGTCTCCACATACGTGGTATCTATTGACTGTTTTCCTCTCCTTTTAATTACATCGTATATATACGACACCTGATGACCTCTGGTTTCTGCATTGATATGACTCATTCTATCATTCCATGGCAAAGATATTGATCAAAGCAGGTTGATAACAATAAAGACATTGATTACACCAGGGATGATCCTTTCAATGGAATTTCGGATTCTCTGTTTTCTGCTCTCTCCACAGGGAAACCGTACCTTTAGCTTGTTCTTGTCCTCTCCTTTGTTGAGGCTTGGAATGAATCAGATTTGAGATGCACGAGGATTTTTTATCATATCTGATTCTGTGTTGTTGGTCCTTGCATGGTCATATCACTTATCACTTATATTTGCTGACTACCGATTCAACTTTATAGTAGGTGCTAACAACGCATCCGGACTCATACTTATATTAAGGCATAAATAAACAATCTTTATTGTTAAAAGGGCTAATATTAAATTTTTAAACATTACCACTGACCAAGCCCATTAGGAGAACAATGCTATTGTAAAAGTTGTTGGTTGACTGAAAATCTAGCTGCATTAAGGCGCTGGATGATGACTGGGCCTAAAATAAGCAGACATATTGAAGAGGTCACATGAGTACATGGAAATGTTCATGAGAAAAGGAAATACATCACAAAGAAACCCATGCTGCTCAGAGGGATTTTTTGCAAAAGTAAATAGGTTTCTGTTTACGTGTTTTGAAATACCTTTAGAAATGTCTTTATAGTTGTCGAAACTGGAACTGTATATTAAATATTCAACATTGGGAGAGAACAGTTTAGGGCATTCCATTAAGAATATATGTAGGTGATGATCGAGGTTCCTGAACTGTTCAGAAGAATGAAGTTCGCCTTTTAGTCCCAAACCAAAATCTGATTCTTTAAAGTCAAGGTTACCAAATTCAAAATGTGACTGTAGCTTTTTTTTCTAAGTACAGTATAAGCAATGCGATCGACAAAAATTTTTCGAACATGAAAACCAGACAAATTTCCACGCGTTCACGAAATGGTTTGTTAAATACGGTAAACAAATTTCAATAAATCAATTTTGGATTTGATTCTTTGGTAACTTATGGTGCGTCGTTACACAATTCAAACAATTTGGGAAATAAAAATTTTAACTGCCACATATTAATTCTCTTGAACAAGGCCATTTGATTGTAGCCACTGCCTTCGATTTTACAAAGACAATAGTCTTAAGGCAGAAACTCGAAGAAAGAGTAGCATGGGGTCTGTAATGGAAACACTAGATCACAAAAGTCATGGAACACTTTCCTTCCCTGTGATGAGAACAAAAAAAGAGAACATTTTAATCTTTTACCAGACAAACTTGTATTCACGATAACGGAGGCAACTTTTGTTGTAACAAAGAAAGAAAATGTCAGTATTAAAACTGTTGATCCCGACTCTTTATCAACTTGAAGCTGACATCCGTATGTTCCAACATCCAAAACAGGCAGCACCTTGTGGTAGCAGATCAATCAACATACTCAGCTCGGATACAACCGTTCTTGTTATTTGTGTGACTGTTTTTGATGAATTAAGTATGGATCAATTATGGATAATATTTTGAAAGGGCAAGGATGGATGGATACCAATTCATGATGTTGGTAGATCCTGGAGACCCAGGTCAAAGACATTGTCACTCTTTCATGCATTCACGGAGTGTGATATAGTGTCAGCCATTTGTTGGGAAATGTAAAATGGCAGCATTTCAGGCCTGGGGCGTGTTTGAGATCACCACAGAAATGTCTATTTTTAAGCACTCCTTGTGGCAATTTGATAGAACTTATAATTATAGAAGGAAATCGAGATAACAAAAAGTATTCAATATCAAAATCCATTAAACAATACAGAATAAGGGCAGAGCAAACACGAACCTCAGATGTGTGATCAGGTGACATGGAGGAGTGAGCATCCCCTGCTGACCGGTCACAACCGCCCTGTGTTCTTTGTCATGATAGGAAAATAACAGAGAAATCCGTCGTCAATTCAGTGCAAAAAATGGACTAAAAATTACATGTAGTATGAAAAAACGTCAGTCAGCATTTAACTCAATGATAAACTGCATTTGCTGACATTGCCATATTGTATCGACCATAGACGAAATGATGACTTTGAACGAGACGGCTGATATTCTTGTTTTATCAACTTGCTTGTCAATAATTTACCTCGTTTTAGAAATTCTGTCACAACTGACCTGAAGTTGTGCTGGATTCTTTAAATTAGAACTTACAAACCAAAATAAATAATATTTTGGAAGACCTTCTGTGTACCAACCAACAACAAGATTTATTAAAAAATTAACAATAAATTTATCTACATATGTACAATAAATATCAATTCGGCCAAAAGTTCATGGTCATCACGAGAGTTTCACACTACGTTCCAACGTTATCCACGGTCCACCATAATGTTCGTATTGTCCCCGCCGGTCCACCATATCCCTAGATTTAGCCAGTCTTCAAGCAAGCAAATACTCCCGTCCAGAACAAAAGCTCTATATACAATTTTGGTCACCTACAATTTTCATAGGATTTTCTAATAAAATATTCAAAAAAAAGAAAAGAAAATGCGTATTTTTGCTGTTTAACAGGTAAATGAACTACAGCGTAAATATTTACATTCTCGCTATAATGCAAACGGTTTTACATAGAATATTGCTCTTTAAAGCTAACAACAAAAATATTGTAAAGTGTAAAAACTTACTGAGCTGTGGCATTTTGTGAAAAAAAAATCATACTGCCGGCCCCCACGTCTTGCTCTCAACACCGCTACAAAAGATCCCTGAATCCCAAGGTCACACAGCAGGGGAACAGAACACACCCAAGTTCACAAAGCATGGGTAATATAAAAGGCACACCCAAGATCACATGGGTAAAGTATAACTCACGGCGTCCAGTCCTCATCTGACGAGCACCAGCCAACACTCAATATCACCCCTACTAGTGTTATTGTGATTTGAATTCAAGACACGTGGTTTAGGTTGATCTATTCAAAGGTTATAGGGTAGAACCGGTTTTACAAATAAAATTGGCAGTAAACATGATATTGCTATAGCCTGTTTCTTTTGTAAACGTGTCCTGTAATGAATGTTTCCAGACCTTTCCGAAAGACTTGCATGATTTTCAACAGAAAAAGGGTGGCTAAAGAAGGGGATGTTAAAATAACAATATATCTTATACTTTTCGGCAAAAATTAGAGCTCACTAGTGACCGATTCGCTGGTAAAAAATATATAAATATTGCATGTAGTTGAGTGTAACATTGAAAATTTTCACCCCATGAAAACCATTGTCAACCGAGGCGCAGCCGAGGTTGACAATGGTTTTCGAGGGGTGAAATTATTATATTATACGAATGTTTTATACAAATAATGTACATATTACAATGAACCGTGCGCGCATAAATTCCGCGCAGTCGCTATTTTTTGTAATACAACCCGTCGTCAAGCAATGTTGACTGTTGCTACGCAGGAGGGCGTGGCTTCATTATTCAGCGGGTAGTAGTGTTTTTTATCAAATGTTTCTCGACGAATCAGATTCAAGTAATTTACATGAAAGTATAATATTGTGCATTATCATCTACACTGACAAACCGTTGTTTGCCTTATATGGCTATTGTTATAAATGCGCACAGAGGATCTTACCATGAGCAACTGACCAATCGTTGAATGAATAGCAACGTTTACGCCAAATACATGTTTACATTTTACTTCGAACGCGTAGTTCAGGTCAATCTACGATCATGTTAATGGACTGCAAAATAAAAAAAAGTTCTTACGAACAAAATACAAAGATAAGAAACTTTGAAAGATGTTACGGGTGTTTTTAATTTGTTGTTAAATGGAAAAAAATTGTTTAATAAAATGTAGTTTGTTTCTAGTTCAGAACACCAGCGCTTCAAGGGTAAGGAAAAAGAGCAGCATCTCTTATGCATTTAAATTGACAAAACTTTGTTTACGTTCGTGATCACGTGTTCGGCCAGGAAATTCACCTGGCAATTGTATTCACCGATAGTACAACAAAGGAATAGATACAGTCGAAATCTCTTTTGCAGTATGACTTTCAGAAACCTAGACTGCCTGGACTATCTTATAAATGAATTGTTTGTCATTATGAGCATGAAAATCATACTTTTAAAAATGCTTTTCATTTACCATAAGGTTTTCCTTTTTTTCAAGCGTAAAATTCCTGTAGTATTCGTAGTAACCCATAATGCAATACTCATTCAGCCGATTGGTCAGTTAAAATCATGCTGGTGCCTCATTTGCTAATCTGACGCCAAAAAATGTAGTCCTGGTTCCCATGCAAAAATATTTGTCCAAAGAGAAATTTTAATTCATAACAGCAGAAAAATGTATCAGAGAGAATACTTATTTAAGTTTGAATGAATGTAAAAGAGATCAATTGATTGAAGTACATTTCCAAAGACATTATCAGCTTATTCTAGGGTGCTGAAAACTGAAACACACAATAACTTTTCTGTTTACCATGCTTCCACGTACTAGTCACTTCCTAGCCACATTTCCGTGAATA